TATATTTGCAGGTTTACATCGATATTTTGATTAAAAATATTATCACGCAACCATAATATCTTTTTTTAAATTTTGTTGACAGTACACGATGTTAACTTTGTTAAATATATTTAAAACCGCACACATGTATTTGTGTTTAATATTATTTATACTATACTTTTACAATTGGTTCTCTCGTGTATAAACTTATTTTACCACCACTTATTTAAACTTGTTATTTCACAAACCTGATTTTTATCATTAAGTCACTTCGGTTCACACGCATTACAAATAAATAAAAATAAATTATTGACACATTTTGATGTTGATTTGAAATTTAAATTTAAATCATAAAATCTAAATCATAATATTCATCAAATTTCAACCATCAAATTTGAATCCTAAAAATCATCAATTTTAAATTTAATTGATTATCAGAAAGCTATATCACAGTTACTTTAACTTATAAAACCGTATCGTTTAAATAAGAAAACGCATCATTTAAATAACCCACATTTTGTTAAGTACCACACTTTAGCATCAAAATATTTAGCTCACATGACGAAAACAGTTTGTTTTATTTCAATTTTTAATTATTCGAAACAAATTTTGTTCGTATTTTTGTGTCATTTAAATTTTTAATTATGCGAAACAAATTTTTCCGTAATTTTTTTTAATTTCAATTTTTAATCATGCGAAACAAATTTTGTTGATAAATTATGTTTATATGGATTCTATTTTAATATTCATTTCCGAAAATTTTAAACATGTTCTGTTTAAAACAGATGCGCATATAGTTTAATTCCAACCATTGGCAAACTTATGTCCTGTTGTTTTGTTGCTGTTTTTTTTTTTAATGAAAACAAGATGAACACATGAATCAACATGGGGTTTGCATAAAAAAAACGTGTACTCAGCATTTGCTCCAGGTTAAAAGGGGAGAAATAATCTGCTTTAAAATAGGGGGAGGTGAAAGTTGTACTCAACATTTGCTCCAGGTTAAAAAGAGAAAGATAATCTGCCTTAAATTAGGAGGGAGGTGAAAGCTACTTTGATGACTGTTAAGTATTGTTCATGGCATATCATTTTCATTTACACAAATAATTGGACAAGTGGTGTTTCCATGGGCAAACTTCAGCTAGGAGATATGTTTCACATTCAGATTATTTAACCATAGAAAATGGGGAGTGGTCTATGGAGATATATTTTTGATAAATTCATAATCAACAGGTTTAATTTGGCGTGTTACGGCGTCAATTTGGCAAAGGACAAAACGGCCTGACAAATAGGCCCTGTTGTATGTAATGGTCCCGTCAAGACGACCCCAAAAATTTGACCCCTGACAAAAAGGCCCCCTATAATTAGGCTCTCAAAAAAGGGGCGTGACAAAAGAGCCCCTGTCATTTAAGCCCTTGGCAAAATGGCCCCGGTTATTTAAGCCTCTGACAATATTGTTCTTACTGTAAATTTTATAAGTTTAGATTTACCATTATAAGGCTACATTCCATAAGGATTTGGAGAAGGCTTTTTTGATCGAGCTCCTCTCTGGACAATTTTCAAAATTGTCAGCTCGAGCTCCGCTATGAGCTCCGGAAGATTTAAGAAGGGGGGGGGGGCTTTAGCTTTTGGAGATGCTAAGTTAGTATTTATGGAACCGTATTTATTTTTGTCATTAAATCCATCTTATTTACTAGTCAATAAAAAGAGTAGGGCATCATAACTAAATGGAAGTAGTTTTTAAATTTTACATCCACTCACTTCCGTTCCATTCTTCTCAACTTTTTTTGTCAGAGCTGTTCGCCCACTATTATTATTTTCTTCCTTTTTTTAGGTAGGATACATATTGTATTATATTTTATGTAAATTTAATTTGTTCTTGTATACATTTTTTTTTTGTACTGATGAAGGCATTTGTCGAAACGTTTACATTTTTAATTTTTATTTCATAAAATCATCATTACAGCTGAACATATAGGCCTATTGTTTTATTTATCCATATTGGTTGTGTCTAATTAATATACTTTTAAATCTGTATCGCAGTCCAGCTCTCTTATGATTAGCTTATTTTATCAGACCATTTTAGGAACCCAATGACGGGCCGACGTGGTTGGCACCCCGGACAAGCTTAACTATGGCACCCTTTTAAGTATAATCATAAAAATGTGTGCAAGAAAAAAAACAAGGCTTAGGTAATGAGTTTATTATCTATGTTGTGTTTTAAAAAAAAAATGTTTTAATTTAATTGTATTTGGACAGTTTGAACAAATAGCCTACCCAGGACTTTATATTATAGGCTATAAATAGATAAGCAAATCTTTTTATGTCAATTTCAATTTTTTTTCCATGGCGCCCACATTAATTGATTTTTACTATTTTGGAAAATCGTTGATGGCCCCTTAAGCTCATGGCACGCATCTGCCCGAGTTGCCAATACCTTGAGCCGGCACTACAGGAACCATCCTTAGGTGAACGGTATGACCCTGCCAAATAATCAGTTTCACGTGTAAAATACAGGAAACATTTAGAAAAATGCAGGACTTGAGTTCTGTATGAACCTACATGTTCTTTGTGTACATTTAGTGCATATGTGCTCACGACAAGAATGGGGAAGCAGGGAATGACAGCTCAGCAGTGTGCAATGAGAGGGATGAACATAGTCCACTTGGAAATTATTATTATAGACCAGGGGTCTCCAAACTTTTCAGTCCGAGGGCCGCATTAACTATGAAACAGTAGTTCGCGGGCCGACTGCACACTCGAGCAGGGTTTCTTTCAGCATTAATTCGGGGGGGGGGAATATTTCCAGCAATTAACTGGCACTGCTGATATCATCACTGCACTCGAGGTCTAAATAAAAAAGAATCAAACATGGATGCTGTTTTTAATTATTTATATAATATTATTTCATTCAGTTAATGACCTGCAGCTGAAGTTCCTCTGGGCAACTGGCCACATCTGCTTCAATTGGGGTTTGAAAAAGTATCACTTCCTCTGCCTTTAAATCCAAGTCAGAAAATAATTTTAAAATATGTTTATTAAACATTGTTAGTGTTAAAGTTATTCTTTATAAATGTCTATGATTCAATATTCGCAATACTCTTAGTATGAAATTTTGGCAATAGTCAGTTGTATGAAATATTAGTTTCCTGTATGAAATATGGGTTAAATATTGTTAAATTTTGGGTCATATTTACCTTCATGAAATGTTAGCATTGTTCACTACTAAGAAATATTGGCAATTGTGGATTTTACGAAATTTTCTTAGTATTTACTTGAATGAAATATTTCTAAAAAGCTACATGTATGAAATATTGCTAATAGCCGCTGTCAAAACTTTTCAGATGTCAGAATCACAGACATTCAAGTAAACTTAAAACACAAACAACAAAACTAAAAATTTCCAACAGATTTGAGTCAAGTAAAAAATCTTGAGTGATTTATTGTTAAATTGTGTATTTGTAATTGTAATTAAAAAGGAAAATCATGGTGATCAAAAAAGTTCAAGCAACTAAAACATAACTGTCTGTTAACATTGTGTTGATCCAATTCATTTCATTAACACATTTCATCCCCCATAGAAATATAGTAAATAAAATTATCCATGTGTTGCCGTTATTTACCAGCACATAAAACAATTAATAACTTGTCAAAAGAAAACTTGTTTAATTTTCGGATTTTTTTATTGTAAGTACATAGATGGATCCAAAAAATCCTGTTTACAAAGATAGGGTCTTGAATAGATCCAATGATATATTTACAACATAGGGTATTGAATAGATCAAGGAAGTGGCTATTGGTACCCGGGTACCGTAAGTGAGAGGTTTGGATTAAAAAACTATTTAAAATTTGATTTCTGGGTTTGTAAGACAATATGAGAAATCAAATAAAAGGTAATTGAATGGACTATATGTTTGCGAACTTTCTTCTTCAGTTTAACTAAAATAAACGACCACAAATGACATCCAAATAGCACTGCGCCAAAATGGACCCAGACATGCAGCGCCACCATTGGCACCCAGGTACCATTAGACAGTTATATACAGTATCTGGAAGTACTACCAGAATATTCAAATCATTTCTCAAAGTTTATGCACAACTTGCTTCTTCAAGACAAATAGCTGGGCGGAAAATTATTTACTTAAAGAAAGATAAAGCTCATTTATTTTACACAACGGTAATGTACAGAAAAAACAAAATAAATAATAATATAGTAGAATGTCAATTTTTCTAATGACGACTATACGGAACATTAGTACTGGTAAACCAAACAGCAAGTCTTTTTTTTTTAAATTTTTTTTTTAAATGTGTGGCTGATATGGAGCATTAACATCCAAACACTGGAAAACAATTCGAGCTACTGTTGTACAAGCCAGATAAAATCTAATTATGTACTGTGCATTGAATAACTAGCATGGGATAATCAATCTACAAAATTAATATATATAAGAGAATACATTCCTGCAAAAAAAGTGCCACCAAATTTTGACAAAAATCGTTTTCTTGCAGAAAAAATTCAAGTCCTCGATAATTGTTTATTTCAATCATCTACTAAACATAAAACTATACAGAATCATACAATATATTGAATTCCATGCACCAACTTTTTTAAACCAACCTTTCTGTTGGGCTCTTTCCTTAATTGAAAAAAATTGATTTTCAAACCTTATTACATCATTAGTTCAGATAAATGACACTCCACTATATGTAACTTTTGAAACACACATAAGTATAAATACAAAATGAGTGACTACCGGATCTCTCTAGTTATACTCATAGTTAAAATATTTTTTATAAAATTATCTTCATGATAATTTTGTTTACCTTTTTTGTTTTAGAATAAACAAAAAATTATTTAGTTTTTCATTCATCAACCAGGTCCCAGTTTGATAGTTAAAAAAGCTTAAAAATTACAATGCGTTTACAAATTTAAAAAGAAAATTGCTTACATTTAAATAAATGATTTAAATAATTTACATAAATTACATTTAAATTAATCAATTCAAAAATAAATTAATGGTTAAGTGTCCTTACTTGGATTTCATCTTTTAAACCCACCAACCATATTTTAAGTACATTTATTTGTATTTTGGTATTTTTACATTTAATTTTCTGCTGCTAGTTTAATTTCTGTAAAATAATGAAAGAACCTTGATTTAAAATATAGCTATGTCCCTTGCTTATTCAGAGGGAGAGGGAACTGCTTGGACCGTAAAGGGTTAAATAAATTTAATTTAGCTTCACTCTGATTTGCTAAAATTTAATTAACCAAGCAGATATTAAACATTATTCAAAATCAATTTGAGTAAACTTTGAATGAGAGATATAATCTTAGCTATGGATGTAACAAACAAATTATTTTTTTATTAAAATGAGGCTCTTAAAAAAATATACCTCTAAATAGATAAGCAGTATAACATAAAAGTGTATTTTGTAATGTAAGCATTATCTTACTTCAGAGGACATAAAAAGACAATCTAAGTGATTGTGACTGTGCCTTTGAGGCCTCTGCCTGAAACAGAATCATCTGAAACAAACACTACCAATAGGAAAATGTTCCTTGATGTGATGGTTGGAGCCATTCCTCCACAAAACTTTCCCAGTGAAGTTGCTTCTGGACCATCAAAGAATTCCACCGAATCGTAACCACAGTCCCATCGCTCCTCGATCTCAAAGTCAGAAAAGCTGAAATACATTAAAAATTAATATCAAGAAAATTACAGATCTGATGTAAAAGCTATTTATTTACACATTTATGTACACAACCACCTGTAGGTGATTCCCTTTTTCGTTGGAGACAGCTACAAACAAAGTAGTAAATGAGAAAAATATCTATTCATTTAAGGATATTAACAAAGACCCAGACGTATCATAAGTTGTACAATATTATGCAAATAATGAAATTGTGAAGAACCCTAAGCAATGAATAATTTTTTTCAAAATTACTTGATAGTGATTTCCTTGTTGATGCCTTTTGAAATATTCCAAAAGCACTTGACATTTTCTGGGTAGAATTTGGGGAATAGAGGTGTAACAATAGGTCCTGATGATGTAATTATTGTGTTGCAGCCTGGTTTAAAATCAAAGGATGTCAGGGTTATTTTTTTTAAAAAAGTGAATGATTAAGTACATTCAAAATTTAAATGTTTCTTAAACATAATGAGTGGACCAAAAAAAGATAATAATAGATAACAGGAAATACATTTTTTGTAGCAAACTTCTGTATTTATACAATTAGGAAAGTATGATTATTGCCAAGAAAGTCAGATGCTATCTTAGAGACAATGCAGCAAAAATTTTAACCCAAGAATAGTGTAATTCTTACCAAGAAAATCAGATGCTTTATAGAGACATTGTAGCAAAAATCAACACAAAACATAAAAAATATTTATTTAGTCCTCAGGCACAGCACTAAAAAAAATTCGTTCTATTCACTTTTCCATTATATACTGACAATGTAAATATAAGCTTTGTGCTGTTACTTAATGAATCAAATAAACAAGTTTGTTTGACAATGCATTCCTGAGATGAGGAATTAAAACCCATTGATTGTATCATTAATTTTTTATGAGGACACTTACCATTTATCTCAATACATCTGGATGCATTATCGGTGTCTAGTATCATCCAGTCAGGGCATGTGCACATCTCTATCCTAGGGCTGAAGGACATGACTTCACAGTTGTGAGAGCATTTCTCAACAAGACATGTGCCTGGAAATTGAAAGTGCAGGTAATTATCAGGTATATGTAAGGAGGGTGGTACCAATGGATATACTGGAACTATAAAAAAGAAACAGAGTATTTGACACATGGAATAAGATATAGAAATGTCTTTTTAAAAATAAAAACAAAGCTAAAATATTCAGTTCTTATATAAAGTTTGTTATTTATTTCAGGTGTGAACAAATGACAACAAAACATTGTACCAAGAAATTACAGTCTTTTTTCATAAACAAATGTGTGCTAAATCCTTAAAATTTAATGGTTTGAAAATATTCTAAATGAGAATGTTGAGAAGAAAATAGAGAAGTTTAGTTTAGAGATAGTTTAAACTGTTAGCATTGTTAGACAAAACATGTTCTAATAGAAATGATTTTGATCAGTGTAATTTCTGATTCCACAACTTCATGAGTTGAATTTTACAATACACTGATGTAACCAACAACAAAGTGGCTCTCTCATTGTGACCCCAGTACATGTCCTGTCCAATCTTATGTGTACTGCATAACAGGATATCAAAAACAGAATTGGAATAAATAAAATGTATGTTCTGACAGCTTTTGATGAACAACAGAAAAATCAAGCACCAGCGTTACAACAAATTATGTTCAATGGGCCATGGTTATTTTTTTGTTCCAAAATGTTTATGAGGCAATTTGAATATTAATATTGCAAGCATCCCTATTTCAGTTGCGAATGCTGAAATAAACTTTTCAATGCTCAGCCTCACAAAAGCATTTTGTGTGAACAAATAGCCGGAATGTTAGGTTGATTTATCTACACGTGTCAAGCTCAAGGCTCATAGGCCACATCCAGCCCTTGGTAGAATTAAATCAGGCCCACGAGGTCTTGACAGTCATACTATTATTATATCCAAGTCAATGCTATGCTGTTTCCCAATGCACACTTTGCTGAAAAACTTAACTTACTTCAGCGCTTCAGTGACTTTGAGGCACAGAAATGTAATTTCCTGCTGTTTCTAACCCATTTGTCATAGACATGGAAACTTTTCCTGTAAATTTGCAGATGGAGCTAATAGATCTGCAGTGAAATGGGACACTAAAAGCAAAGTACGACACTGAGGGGCCTGCACAGTTCACTTGATTTATTCCTAAAGAGATGCTCCAGGTTCAGCAACAAGTTGTTTGAACCTTGAGCATGTTTGTTAGCACATGTATGTGTGAGCAGCTATTTTCCATGATGACGATTAACAAAACATCAGACACAAGTCATCTCACTTTTGAACACTTGCAGCACATCATGAGAATCTCAATGACACAGAACATTACTCCCAACATAAACGAGTTACTTGTTTTTGTGACCAAGAAAATGTGCCAAACATCTGGCTCCGAAAAATCGGCATTGAACGAAAATGGGTATGCCAATGATTTTTAATTACTAATTTTTTTCTTCTGTTTTCTTTTATATAAATGTTTTTAAAAAAAAAAGAATTTTTCCGCTTATTGAATGTTTATCCTTTTTGGCCTGCAACCTTTACATTTGATTTAAGATTTGGCCCTCCGAGCGATAGAGTTTGGCATTTCTGATCTACAAAATCCATAAACAGAACAATTTCAAGAAGAGTTGGATGTTATCAAAATAAATCAGAATCTTACTTCTGCAAAAACAAGAAAAGTTTACCTTTCTTAAGATAAACTGTTAGTTATAAGACATGTTTTAACACTTTTATTATAAGTTTGCAATAAAAGGATTTCTTTGTTTTGCTTGCTTACTTATTTCAAAGTGTCAAGGGCATGGAATCAGTGATGCACTGTGTATGGTGATGTTGACAGTTAAGTTGACGAGGAAGTGAAGGACGGGTGCATTGATTTTTGCTTTATGAAAGGAGAGAACAATTTGGAGCATGAGAGATTTTGGAGAGAGTCAGATAGTTTTTTGGTTAGATTCGTTGTGGGGTTATTTCTTGAGGATAATATTTTTCTGTCAGATGTAATTATGATATCTATTAATATCAACTTCATTGTGTTCCAAGTGGATGTTTAGTACAGTGAAATAAATGCTTAGTGTACAATGAAATATTCAGTGTTTGAGTTAATTGACCAAGTGAGAGATGAGATCCAAAACAAACTCGTCTGACATAAGGTAGAACGGGAGCAATTTTTAGAATACAAACTTATTTTCTGCCATATACAGCCCAAAGTTTCTTCCCTCTCTGAAAGTTTACTAACCTTTAATAGAGTAAAAACCTCGAAATCCTTGTTTGGTTATAGAAAAATCTGATGTAAATACTACATGCAATGAACCTCCTGTAGTAGTGAGAACACCTGGAGCGGAAGTACAGAATGGTCCAAAAACATGGTCCTGAGTACTGTTTCCTTCATAGATCTTCAAATAATCATTTGGACAGCCCTCAACTTCATATTCTGTTATACTGTAGTAGGAAATAAGGGTAACATAACTCATCGACGCTTTTATTTTAAAGAATATTCAATATAAAAGTACATACTTTTTTCAAGCTCTTGCATTCACATGGTTTTCTTAAGGATTTCTAGAGCTCTATGAATTCTAACATGGAAACGTATAAACAATGTGCAGTTTTTGTGACATAATTCATTGCCTGAATGTAAATTTAATATTTATACAAACTAGTAGTGACATTGTATTAATACAAACAAGATCATACCTGAGTGTAATTGTGGTATCAGGTCCAGGGCTGATGATTGTCCAAGTACAAAATGTGTCATTGTCATAGTCCAGTGGGTAGTTTGAGGTCATTATCCATCCATTGGAATTAGACAATGTTCTATTGCAGTCTAAAATATGGAATTAAAAGTATACATTAGAATGAATTTGTAAATTGCATTCACATGGTTTACTTAAATAGTTATATAAAAATTGGAACATATTTTCATATAAAGGAATAGGTTAGTCAGCAACAAAACATATTAAAAAAGGAACATTCACTAACCTTTACAAGTGCCTAGAGGTCCAGGTTTAAGGCCATTCCAACAAATGCAGTCATAACCAACTTTTCTTTCTTGACATTGCAAGTGAGCTGGGCAGCTGTGATTGAGGCAGTTATCAATCTTTGTAGAACAATCACTGCCTGTCCATCCTTCTTTACAAATGCATTGACCAGTTGTCTCCAGCCAGGAATGAGTGTTTTGTAAGAAGCAGTGACATGTTGAGCAGTTTGTTCCAACAACATCTACATTAAATAATAATACAAGTTATATGAAGTGGTACTTGTTCAAAACAGTTGTTCAAAGCAGTTGCACTGGTGGCAAGTATTTCTTTATATGGAGGGGAGGCAATGCGGCCAAATGCAGATCTTTTTTGTGGATAGTGGGAGACGAGGGTGTCTTGACCATCCCTTGGGCGGCACTATCCCTAGCTACCTCACTGGTTCAAAGCCCCTCACTAAAAACTTTAAAACCAAATGGATGAGTGTTTTATAACTTTCATGATTTTTTGGTGTCAAGTTTCAAAGGAGAAAATTGGGAAGTCACTAATAATAAATATTTTTTATCACAAAATTGTACTAGGGCAGTGGTTGGCAAAGGTGGTGGCACGCCTGCTGCTCTTTAGCGACCTGAGTGCTGCTCGGCCACAAATCGGTTTTGACTCCGAAAAAACATAGCTCTTGACAGGTGCTTGAAAAGAAATTTGGATCTCAAATTTTTTTAAAATCATCCTGCTGCTGATTTTTCGTTTTTTTTTTACTAATGAGTTTTCCGACCACTATACTAGGGTTTCTAGTTTCTTGGGGTTCACTTATCCCGGGAAAAGGGGGCAAAAGTCTCACTCACCTTGCAATTCTTAAGATAATATAAATTTAATAAAAAATATAAAATAAACATAACTTAAATAAACCGTATTGTTCATTTGTTATTTTTTTATTACCTAATGAAAAATGATGCTAGATAAGACGTTACTTAACCCTAGTAAATTATATCATTTTATCTAATAATTTTTTTTTAAAGCTATTCTTTTTATGTAAATTAAAGTATGTACCCATTTCAATGTCATGCTTTGTTTTGCCAATATTTACTGTGAAGCTCGGTGAGCCCATCCCTATGCTGAGTTACCGCCCTATATAAGGCCAGTGCAATAATTGTATCTAGCTAAAATATGCATGTTTAAAAAAAGTTAGAAATTAATGCTTTTAGAAAAAATATTTACACAGAGTTTTGGTTTCTTCACAGACAGCATATGCTAGTTTCAAGTCCCTCATGAAATGTTTACAGGCAAATATGTTTTCATAATTTGCAACAAGGTAACAAGGTTTCGTAAACTAATTTAAAAAAATAAATACATGTGTCTATGTATGTATATGTCTTTTTAGGTTGATTTTGGAAATAATATAGATGTAATATTATGAAGGTAGTTTGAAACATAAACAGCCTGTATTAATCAAGTTATTAAGCACGGGTTACCAAACCATGGGATGAAATCTCAAATGGGGTTACAAAGGGATTTCCTGTGGAACTGCTGATTGAAAAAATATACTAAATTAGACGAAAAAGTGAATTTAAATTGTTTTAATTGGTGTCCTGAAGTTTGAGTTTCTTTTGCAATCACAGCATAACATCTTGTTATGAAGAATTATGTGATACTGAAAATTGAGTTTAAACATGAATTTACCCTATTTATAAGACTTTTTTCATTATACTGTGATAAAGTTTACTTTTCTCAAAGCAGCAATTTATGACCACCTGTAACTTGATGAAATAAAATAAAAAGAAACGAGCAAATTGTTTTCCAAAAGGTTGTAACCAAAATTGCTCTGGACGGAAGGATTTCCGAGGCAGTCTTATGTTTAATAAATCAATTCCATTTTTTTAATTAACACAGAGCAAAACAAATCCACATGCTTTCTCAAAAACTAAAATTGGTTTTTAATTTAATTTTTATAAAATTTCTGTCACTATCAATAAAAAAAATATTACTAACACTAATTTAAATTTAAGCATTTAGTATTTGTAATTAAAAAAAAATAATTTCTAGAGTAAAATAACAGTAAGTGTCACATACCAATACATGATGAGTTGTTTGAAGCATTAAGCACAAATCCATTTGCACATTGACAGTAGTATGAACCTTCTGTATTTAAGCAAAGCTGATCACACAAACTGGTATCATGACATTCATTTATATCTGGGGGTGAAAAGTCGATTTGTTAACACTAAATGTATTTAAATGTATCACATCAAAGATCTCTACTGTAAGAAATGTACCTGACCAATGACAATGGCAGCGCATCTGTTATTTTTAGTTCCTACGGGCCTAAGAAGTAACCTAAATTGTAAATACTTACAACAATCTTTCTCATCTCTTGGGAACTAAGCCTAAGTATGATTCTCATAAGAGGTATTCATTAAAAAAAATTGTTAAAAAGAGGCAGGTCAATAGATCACAAAACATCACTAATCTCAAACTTAACTAAAAAGCTGCTATGGCTGGTTCATCACAGATTACAGATCCCCATTAGGTGGCTTGATAAAATAAGGAATTTTTTTATAAATTCATTAAAAATCTTCCACTTGGTGTCATTTAACTTTTAACAGCTTGCAGTGTTACTTTAAATATTTCATTTTCTTCCATATTATATTTTCAGACTTTTGATTTCAAATTGATTTTATATTTTTTATTTTTAAAATTACATCCGTTTTTATTTTTCCGGGGGAAAAAAACAACTTCACAAATAACTATAAAGAATTTATTTCCTTTATCTTTTTAGCCACTAAAATTAAGTAGGGAACTTGTCAGACCTTTCACAACAATTCAATAAGTGTTTATATATTTTCGTCCTGTAATAATTCTAAAAACTAGGGAAAATATTTAATAAGGGAATATAATTTTCAAGTTGTATAAATTATTAATCTTCAAAAAAAAAAAAAAAAAAAGTTTTGGGGGATGCAGAGTAAGTAATGATAGGCGGTATTCAGGTCTTGGCTGCATGCTGTGTTGCCTGTCCAAAGGAACTGTTTTAGAAACTCCAAATTTTATGTATGTGAAACATTTAGTCATAAAATCTGTGTACTGGAAACTCTAAGGCACATGTGTCAAGCTCAAGGCCCGCGAGCCACATCAGGCCCATTGTACAATTATATCAGGCCTGAGAGATCTTGACAGGAGTACAATTAAATCCAGCCAGAGAGAGAATTTTAGGTTAAAATATTTTATAATGGCTCTGCCAGAGAAAGTACACATCAAGTTCCCTAATATGCAGCCTTGCCAAAAGATTGGCTCCCTGAGAGCGTTCTTGCTTTGATCAGAATAAGCGAAAATTTTGTAGTGAGTGGATGTTCATCTTAACAGTAGTCTAGCAACCGTTCAGTTGCACATTTTGGATATAAATATACTGTGTATATATATATATATATATATATATATATATATTTATATATGTAAATATATATTTATATATATAATATATATATATGTTTATTTTGTTGTTGTTGAGTAAATGAAGGCATTTGCCGAAAAGTTTAAATTTGTCTTTTGTGTAACCATAATCAAAGCTACATATATATTTTCTTTTTTTTTACACAAATTGTATTTCATTAACCTAACTTAAAGGTTACAGGTTTAGTATCTTTAGCAAAGATATTAAGCATGGAGTCAAAACTTCATGATTTTTTAAAACATTTACCAACAATTTTACACAAGTTTAATTACATCTTCTTACCAAAGCAATTCATATCATTGTCAACAAAACCCTTGGGACAAGGTCCACAGCTGTACCCCATGGTCATGTTGCCTTGTTCCTCAGCTGTTAGATCTGTGCAGTTCTGTCCCTTGGAACAGGGATAAGTCTGACAAGCATCCAGCTCAATTTCACAGTTTTCTCCTAAAAGTAATAAGTTTAAATTTTAAACAAGCTAATTATACATCAAAATGAAAAGGACTTATGACATTAAATTGTGTCCATATCTTGCCTTATCAATTTTGTGTGTCTTATAAAGTGAACAAATCTTGCAATGCTTCTATATAATTAAATACTGGAATGTTGTTACGATTTTGTACCAAATGAGAAATCACTATTTAAACAAAGTGTAAATTAAGAAGTTAAATAGGCAAGACATTTTTTTTTTAAGGACACTGGACTTAAGAGACAATTAGGGAAAAGTGAATGATCAATTCTAAAATCGTTCAAAGATTCTTTTTTTTAAAAACTTAATAACAAGCAGTGCAAAATTATACTCACCAGTATAAGCAGGAAGACACAGGCATTTCAATATTATAAACTGGCCATTTAGATATTCCCTTTCACTGACAATATTTTCATTGTAAAAACCATGTCCATTGCATATTGGGCAGACTGTGATTGGAATGTACATTATGGCAGAGAAGGCATTTTTACTATCCTTTGCTTGGATCCTGGTAAGCAAATATAATGATGCTACTGAATGTTCAATCAAAATAGTTCAAGTGTTTTTAAATTTAATTACACTAAGCCTTCAATCATAATAAATAGAGGGTCTTCAATTTATTACCAAATGTACACACCCTATCAGGGCAGGTTCTTCAAATTTATTATACTAAATGTTTGATCAAAATAAATAAAGGTCTTAATTATTTTACTAATGTACACACCCTATTGAGACAGGCTCTTGACTATTCGGTGTGTAAATCAGAGTTCCATTTCCATGTAATTTCATGTTATACGTTTTGTTGTACAGCAATTCCATTGTTGTAATATCACCATCTTCATCAGTAGCTTCCAAATTTAACATGTTGACCTGGTTCTCCAGAACCAACCATCGTTTTTTAAAAATATTGCTATCATTGAGTATCTTTACTTCCGGTAAACTATTGGCTGAAAAGGAAAAGAACATTTTAATTTCTCTACGTAGTAACAGTTAATGAACCAAATACTAGAGTGTATGAACCAGATACTAGGGTTTATGAATCAGATATTATAGTTTGTGAATCAGATACTACAGTTAATGAAACAAATAATACAGTTTTTGAACCAGATACTACAGTTTATGAATCAGATACTACAGTTTATGAATCAAATACTAAAGTTTATGAACCAGATAATACAGTTTATGAATCATATACTACAGTTTATGAATCAGATATTACAGAAGAGATTCCAATTTTAAAATCATTATTCATTCACATGTTTCATACACCGTCCAGAGGGTGTTTTACTAGATTAGGAGACTTTAATGAGTGCATTTGGACACACCAATGGGCAATGATATAATTTCTTGATCCAAGTAGCACAGGGTCCAAGAGCTAAGGTTACTAGAGTTAAAAAGAAAATTAGTGCAACAACCCAAAGATTAAGACCTGGAGAGAAAAACTAACAGTAAAAAAGGTGTAAACCACTGCCTCCACCCGTAATTTAAGAAAAGTTTCAAATGGCTGTTAATTAAATCAAGAGACACAAGGTTCTCATGGCCTCTCTGATGAGGTGTCCAACTGAATGTAGATGTTCTTTCAGGATAACATCTCTTCACAATATGCTTGGACAGGTTGTCTTTTCCCAAGATCTTCGGAATTTGTTAATATATTTGCTACGTGAACAACTGGTATACATCTCTTAACTGCTCAACTTTTAGGGACACTAGGCTTCATCTATAAAGTTCTTTTAAACAAACTGAATTAACTTTTGCAGAAGAAACTTCCATAAAGTCAGCGTGGCTTCAAAGAAAACCATGGAACAGGACATATTTGTTCTCCAAAAAATAAAAAAACACAAGAGAGTGAAGGGAACATAGCAATGTTCATCACCCTTATCAAAGCCTTCGACAGGGTCATTGGCTATGGTCATAGTTTATTGAATATCTCCAGACTGAAAAGCCCACAATAGTACCTTGCAATATTTGAGCAGCTCCACGACAATCATAAACATGATGGTGTACATTTTGAAACATTCCCTATTGGCAACGGCTTCAATAAAGTATTTATTTTTACTTCCAGTACTATTCTCTAAAAGAGAGACCCATAAAGAAATAATATTCATATTTGACAGGAATAGTTTTAACCTCTGAGGTTTGCCATTCAAAACAAGGACAAGGGAATAAGCTTGATCAAGAAACAACACTTTGCATGAGACTGTGCTCATTTAGCTCATCTGTGGCAAGGCCTTCTATCAGTTGATAACCACTTTGCTGAAGCAGATTTAGGCTTTGGTCTCATCTTATTATTTTCTTAATGAAAAAATCTCTCAAAATGGATTTAAACACTATGAATGACTGCTAATATGCTAGTTAAGAATTGAGCTTCACTTGGTTTATTTTGGTCAGTGGTTTTAATACTGCAGAAAAAAATAAATTAATGGTTTACCTAAATTTTCCATTTTGCAATCATGCTCTTCCTTAAGAAACTTGGTATTAAGAGCAACAGTTTTATTTCCTGTAATGAGCAGGTCAAAGATGCAGTCGTGACTAGTAAATCCACACAGCTCTGCCGCATCATTTATTTGTGATGTTGTAAAACTACTGCTGAAAGTTGGTGTAAAGTCAGGGTGCTGATAATCAGAATATGATTTCCCAGCATCATAGATAAATATTGTGTTTTCCTCCGTCACTCGATCTGAAAAAATATTTTACAATATATTGTTTGCTTTCATTTCAAGAGCCTATAAGTAAAGCTCTGTATGCAAGCAAAAATTCAATTAATTTCCCTACAGGTTTTGTACAGAACACATTTTGCTAATTTTTTATCATTTCTGCAAATTTTTTTACAAGATTTCGAATTGAATCATTCAAAATATAATTTAAAAAGAAATTGTACTATTTTTCCTAAGTACAAATCTTTATTATTACCATCAAAGGTGTCCAATTTTACAAAACAAAAATTCCAAGCATTTTTAAGAACATATATATTATTTATGGTACTTTTAAAATGTTTTCAGAAACTTTAAACATATTGAAATTTTAGAATTTTTATCATTTTTTTGTCTTCTTTTTAAAAGAGTACAATTGGCAAATAATTTTAAAATATATATTTTTTTATTTTAAAGAGGAGGTAAAATTCATGTTATATTTCTTCAATTATGTTTATTGAAAAGTCAACATGAGTTTGAGAGTTAAAAGACTAGATTTGAACTAAATGCAAAAGTACACAGAAAATATAAATATTTCAAAATAATGTTAACAAAATAAATATTTCAATATAACATTAAATTACAAGATAATGCAAATTAGTAAAAAAAAATCTTCTTCAGTTATATTATCAAAAAAAACTGTCCCATTTAAATTACTAACAACAGGATGCAAATAAGTGAAAAATCTCCTCTTCAGTTATATTAGGAGACAAAACTGTTCCATTCGGCAGTTTAAAATCATCAAATGGATTTCCGTTAAAATTGCCAAGCAGTCCTCTGGTCGAATTCTTCAGTGACTTGTCAATCTCTATTTCAACTTTCAAATTCTCAACCCCTACTTCAATGACAAGAGCTATGCCTGCGTAAGAAAATTAGATGGAATATACTTGTTCACATTGAAAATTATTATCTTCTACTTTTAAATTTGAAATAATTTTAATTTTTCATCACAGAAATTAAATTTTAACATTAAAAAGCCTAACAATTTAATGCGGTATTGAAAAAATCTTTAAATATCTTACCGCATGCAAAAACTGCAATAATTTGTGTCCTATTTAGTGTATTGTCTCTTCTGACATCAATGTTGTCTGTGATCATTGAGTAGTTTGGCGAGCCATAGAAATCTTTAGTTATGTCACTTTCATTGGCCATAATCACCATTGCTTTAGACAAAAAAAAACTTTCAGAAAAACAAATCTGTGTGTTTGCCCACTGCAATAAACATATCTGATAAAAAAACATTGTCACTTTTGTGCTCAAGGCAGTTATTACTATTTTAACTGGTCCTTGTACAAATTTTATAAGATATACATTGTTAGCAAAAGTAACATTCTTTTTGAATAGTTTTTTTTTTTTAATTCTTCTTCTTGTTACGCTGATAACTATTTCTAACAAAATTAACATTCTAATTTAATTAAATTGTTTAATATCATAAATGACTGAAGCTTTGAGAACACAAGACGGCAAAAAAATAAATGTACCTGGCTTTCTACTTACTGGTTTTATCTGGTGATAAATTAACCTGAAAGGTTGGGGCACTGCCTTCCTTGGCAGCAAAAGCTACAAATGCAGTGGCGTTAGTGACTGTGCCATTTTCATTTTCCACTAGATCTGTGCGGCTCTTAAAATATAATTAATGGTAGATAGTTTAGACAAGTTCTTTACTTTTTTTTCTGGGCATTTCCCTCCTTAATTCCCTCGGTACCATAATCTAATCTCTTGGGCCTTCATGTTTTATCCCATTTTAATAATTATTGAGTGGATTATTATCACCCAGTCCAGAATATCAATCAAAATATGAACATAATATTGCTCAGACATGACAGGCACATTATTATTCTTATTATTAATGTGGTTTTATATAGCCCATTACCCAAGCGTTCCACATCCCCATGAGCGCTTACCAGGGGTGCATGAATACCCATGGGTGCCTGAGGGAATGTAGGCGGATGTGGGAACACCCAGAAAAGCAGGTTCCTATTGAATTTTTATTTGTTATCATGGTGGTGCAGGAATCAGAAATGAAGAAGGGATGTCACACTGCAAAAAAGGTTAAGAGCCCTTGCTATTCACTAATTAGTTACCTGTAACATGAAGTTTCTTGACTGGACATCCATTAGTATATACTCTCCCCACCCATTCATAGTGAATGACATATTGTCAAGAGTTGTAAAATGAGGATCTCCAACAGCTAAAGCTTTAGAAACAAATCAAATGAATATTTTTTGACACGTTATAATTAAATAAAAAAAACGTATTTCTCATTTTGATTAAAAGTATAATACAAGTTTAAATGTCAATAGAGTCACGTTTGGTTTAATAGTTAAATTATATTAAACAATCTATGGAATTTTTTAAGAATGGGACAACAATTGCTATTTCTTAAATAATGCAATATGATTCCAAAAGCATTGCAATTAGGGATAAGTGTCTGAACAGAAATATGATGCATAAATCAGTAATGTGCTGTTGCAATAAATAACTGCCTTTCCTTGCTTAGAATGCTGACCACTAAACAGTTTTCCAACTCTTCACATGCAGCTTTATAAATTTTGTCCTCAGAGGGAATGACATACAATACATGACTTAAAAGCTCTTGGACCTAATACCAGAGACTCTTCCCAGGAATAGGAAAGGAGTAACTCAGCTAGATTTTTTGCTGACGTGTTAATTGATAAATGAAAGTTATTAAAAATGAAGTTTTATGAACATCTATCAATATAAATGTAAAGGTAAGGTTTGTTTGTGATTTATTGTTGGTAGGTTGTTTGTTAGTTCCACATAATTGCCTAAGTGAATATATTGAAATGGACTTAACGATTTAATTTTAAATCATATTTAACACTTTAAAGGGGATCTTCGACCAAAGCACATTTGAAAAAAAGAAACCTTCCTCAGACAAGCCCCCCTGTTTTTCTTTTTAAAGTATAGCAAAAATTACAAGTTAAAAATTCAGTTATGTGATTAGTTTCTAAATGAATGATATGACCACTGATCCCTTGACCAGTATCTTAATCCACAGGTACAGCTGAACTGACCTCCCTTGTGTCCCTTAAATCTCAAACATAAGGGGTGAGCCATATAAAAATCTGAACACATTCACTGTGTTTTGCACAACCTTAGATGAAAACAGGTGATCACAAAAGGCATTATGCTTTTGATTACCCAGAAACATATTGTTTTTATGTAGCCCTTTTAGTGTATGACAGATTATATAAATCTACTTTGAAGAGATGGGTCAAATTTTCAGCAAAGGCTACTTTCCAGAACGATACTTGTTTTGAAAGTAACATGTGAGGATGGTTCTTGTCAGTCAATAAAATCTCAGGTGTTACTTCAAAAAATATGCAACTCAAGCTACTCACAACTGATCACCTGACATTAAGTATGGGAGGGAAGGTTGCTATATTCTACTTTTAATTTTGTTAAATATTAGAACAACTGATGATCATTGAGGCCAAGTGAGAAAATAGAGTTCACTGTTGAAACCACATTTTACATGTGAGAGAATAATCAAGATATTTTACACACAATCCGTAATAAATTGTGCCATTTAGAAACTTTAAGCATGAAACAGCCAACACTTTAAACAGCCAACACTTTAAACAGCCAACACTTTAACAGCGAACAGTTTAAACAGCCAACACTTTAAACAGCTAACACTTCAAACAGCCAACACTTCAAACAGCCAATACTTTAAACAGCCATCGTTTTAAACTATCATTTTAAACTATGCAAAGACGCTTAATCTTTGTGACTTAAAAATCAAAAGCTACTTCTCAGGCAAATAAACCAATGCGGTGGTTTGGCCCGCGGGCTGTTTGCTGACAATTTTCTTAATTAATGGAGACATATTAGAAGTAAGTCGAGGGGAAGATGCAGAGTAAGATGATCTACTTGTAAAAGTTAAAGATATGTATGAGTCTCCAAAACCTAAACAGAAATTATATATTAGCTAAAATATTCAAAGACCCATATAATAATTGCAAAAGCTTTCAAAGGGGGAGTTAAACCATTGTATAAATCAAATGGGTGAAAAACAAGGAAAACAACACAAACTGTGTGATAGGATCAATCATGTAGTAAGTTCAGCAGAAGGAGTAATATGGTTTAAACAAACTAACCCTAGAGTAGCATTGTTTGACAATGGATACAGAGAGATTATAGCAGAAATTATCAAAGCCTGAATGTTGGCGTTACTAAGAAATACCAGAAATACTTGAGAAATATGCAATGATGAAGAAGAGTTACACAAATGTGCAGGAAGAAAAGCAGAAATTGTGACAAGGCATAACTAAAAGAGACAGAAAACTTTAAAATTGAGGTAAAATTGGAATGTATTTGTTTTCTGACAAAATGGATAAAAAGCCAGAAATCAACCATGTGTGTTAGCTTAGATGGAGAATGAATTAAAGTAAATAGTAATTTACTGTAGAAGTGGTACTAAATGTAGATAATTGACAAGAGAAAGATGGCTACCAAGTCATTGAAGGCCAGACTCTCAAATAACCTCTTGGGAAAAAGACAATTCCTGAATAAATCCTCTGGGGAACACATCACAGCAGAAATTATTAGATATGGGTGAAGGGAACTAAACTACTTACTCAAATACAAGACTTGTATTCTACTGTCTGCTGAAGAAGGAATATAGCCAAAACATTTTTTTAATTGTCCTGCCTTTTTTTTCAAGCCAAAATATATCTTTTTTCACTATTTATTTACTCCCCAATATATATTTTTTTTATTGTTCGTCCGACAAAGATCGACGAGGACCATCAAGTCATCTGGTGACTGATCTTGTGCGAGTGACTTTTGTTTAAAGTGAGAGTGTTCACTCTCAAGTCCGGGAACACCATATCCAGTGGCAAGGCTCTATAACAAGACGACCAGGGATGGGTACGGTTGCAGGAATTGTCATTGTATGCGCCTTTCGGAACTCCAACTCCGGGTTTGAATTTAGGGTTTCCTTCTCTTAGATGCTTGACTGGCCTTTGGAGGGAATTGAATTCCAAACCACCAAATTGAGGTTTGCTCAGTTTAGACCATTCGGCCATCCAATCCCCAATATATATTATATTGAGGTACACCAATGAGAATTAAACTATATGAAAATTTTAAGTACGGACATAATTGTTTAATAAGCTTATAAAATTCTAGATGTTTTAACTAAGGACAATCTTCTTAGAGTTTTAACAAAACATTAGATATTTTCACACAAAAATAAACTTACCAGAAATATATGGAACTATATTAGAGCACCCCATGTTTGGAAATATAGAGTAAAATGTCTCACACAATGCTATCTTATTGGATTCCAAACAGCACCAGTCATGTGCCTTTAAATTTAACTCATTTTCTTTAGAGGATCGGTGAGATGAGATTAGACTGTAACCAACATGATAACTGCTTGTTATATGAAATCCTTTTTCCTCTGTCCATGTATATGTCGAACTGTATGAGCATATCTGGTTGGCGGACAATATTTTTTGTTACATTAAAAATATAGTGACATGAGAAAATAATTTCTATTCTTGTTATGTCCAATAGTCCAGTATATATATATTTTTTATCATAGTTTAAAAAAAATTTGCTTAGCCCCACCAAGTGATTATACTTTTGAGACGCTACAAATATAGAAATTAAGTTTTTAAAAAAAAATGTTTAAGTCCCCAGAAATTTTTAAAATGATCCAGGCATCTTCTTAAATTCTAACAGAATACTATACATTGTTTCATATTCCCATTATTAATGAAAGTTTTTAATTTTAGAAATTCCACATGACTAACAGTTGGACACTTGGGTTTGAAAGGTCATAGAGTAGTAAGGGTGGAGGAGAGAAACCATCATAACTGACAAGCAACTTGAAGTGACCTTGTCATACAACTAACCCAAGAGCATTCATATACTCACCCTATTTCTGGCATTGTTTGGAAACAGTATTTTCTTTGCAACATTTCTAAAGATGTAATAATGGTACTCTGTCAACTTATATGATAAATATTCCCACTGTCTGCCTAGTCTATCATCACTACATGGGCATCTGTGCAACTCATTGATGTCCCTTTGGTATTTTGCATTGGATATCAAAGCTGAGTGATGACATGTATATCTCTGGCATTTCTGGGCTGCACTTGATACACTTCCGACTTGATAGGCCCAAACTCCTTTCAAGCCTTTAACAGACAGACATTAAAGTAGAAAATTTAAAAAAAAAATGCATTACAAAAACACATGTTAATCTCTTAGCTTGTAAAACTACTTCAATGTCACTTCTGCATAATTGAATACATATAGTCAGCCTACATTTTAGTACATTATGAATTAAGTTAAACTATATTTTGCTGCCAACTTTGTGTAATGAGTTATTTCTTGTGTATTACGAGAGAGGGATTTATTGTAGAAAATGTTCATAAGTTTTTGGACTCATAATACTTAAGATAGAAATTCTTAAAACTAAGTTTCTGAATAAGAGGATATTCTGAGTGATATAAATTTGTTCACGCATCCTTTTAAAATTCCTGGAAGAATATTCTCCTCTGCCCTTCATGGTGGAGGCTAGAATGTCGATGTAGCATAAATTATTTTATTAGTTATTTCATATTCTTATTGTTTGTCCATCAAGATCAAGAAGGACCATCTTGTCATCCGGTGGAGGGGGGTGGGGGAGTGGATGTCATGGTGAGTGTCAATGTGGCTTGATAGTCAGATCCGTGCTTGGAATACTCAACAGTTTCCAGGTGCTGTCTTTAAGACCAGTGGTTCTCAATTTTCTCTAAGTCAGGGAACACTAAACTCTTGTTTTTAGTGGAACACTTCAAAACATTATTATGTTATTTTCATAAACATATTGCGCCATTGATTTCAAAAAGGCAACCCTGATTAAAGCTTAAAGTGTCACTTTTATAAAATTTCAAAATGCTGATATTGATGAATGCAAATATATTCATTTAAAAATTACTTAAAATTATAAGACTCAATGTGATACATGAGCTGGATGATCATTGCAGTTTTCATCAAAATTGGAACCAAAAAATGATAAAAACACTTGCATCTCCTCTTCTAAATTTCCCAGGCTCTCTTGTTAACTATCATATTAACTATTGTTGAACATTCTGTTTCGTTAAAAGAAATGTCATGAAAAATAATATAATGTGTGAAATGCTTTATTTGCTAGACCCAGGTATTTATCCTTAACAGAGATCCAAAATTGTTCAGGAGTATTTTCAATGCACTTCAGTTTGAACCCAAGATCTGAAGTGAATAACGTCAGTTCTTCTTCATGGAGAATAAAACTTGAGAAGTCGGAAGAAACAGAGTTCTTCTCCTATAAATTGTTGAGTGTTAAGCTATGGAAAGTATTTTTCAACATTTCTTCAGCTGTTGTTACATTACTTACATGCTCAATTATTAAAGAAATGATTACATCATTTGTTTCCTGCACAGAAGGGAAAATGCCAGTGTTTTTTTCACTTACTTGTCTCTTCCATTGGTTAAGTTGTTTTTTTATTGAGAATAATTTGTCAATCTATGAAAGAAAATTTTGGTGTTTCCTTGCATACTTGTATTGCCAGTATTAAAGTAAGCAAAAGCAGTGTATTATTTTAGCACAACAAGCCAGTTTGTTAACAATGCACCAAGTCTCAAGTAACTTTAAACTTTGGCAGTGCCTCGATACACCAATCTTGAGCCAATTGGTCCAAAGAAATACCTACGTAAATTTATTTAATTTAAAAAATCAAATCGATATGATTACTGGAAATAATGAAATAAACCACATTGGCTGCTCATAATTTATATGTGAACTGCAGAGGCACACCAATGAGCAAATAGACCAAAAAATTTACTGACAATTGCGTTTGCTGATTACAATGCCATACAAAAAAATGATTTTACAATGTATTGAGTTTTATTTTTCAACAATGTTTAATTTTGTGTAACTTTTTTGCGTAACACTTAAAGTGGCTTTGCAGACCACCAGTGTTCCGCGGAGCATGGATTAAGAACCATGTTTTAAGGTAATAATCCCAGCTGATGATTGAGCTCAACATTAGAACAATTTCTGGGAAAACCTCTACTGTGCTCTCCATTCGACTGTTCCTCACTTTTTTTCACTAGACAGAAAGCTGTCCAAAGAAGTATTTCCTCAACGATTTCCATTGAGACCTCATTCATTTCCTCATTGTCAATTATATATCCTAGTTTACTTGTACTTTTAGGTGTGCAGGCATGAAAGCCCTGAAAAAGGCTGCTAGGTCAATAAAAGCTACTACTATTTCCAATAATTCTTTTCAATAAACAAGTGACATATTGATCCTGATTCACCCACATGAAAAGCTTAAACTGGTAGTACCATTTTAATATCTGTTTTAAGATGGGTTTTTTTTCAACCTCATCAAATAATGTTCCCACTTTCAGCTCCTAGTTTGTGAAACAAATTTTCTATTAAGCAAGTTAAAAATTTTGGTTTAAAATATGAGAAGCTTTCCCTAAGAAAACGACTGTATCTTTCTTTAATTCTAGGTCTGCAGTGATATGTAAATTGGCCAATAGCTGATTAATATGCCTGAGATAACAGATGCTCATAGATGGGGACATTATAAAACTTATTGCAACTTTTTTTTACAACAATCTCGAGCCCTAAATGTTGTGGATTAATTCCATATTCCTGGTGTCAACATGGACCATATTTTAAGCTCTTCTTACTGATAGGGGTTTGGGGACATTAATCCTATCTAGCCTCTAGATGCTCAGGTAGGGCATGAGGTGTAAATGTTAGGTAACACTGCTCCCCTCCCCTGTGTTGCCGATAATGTATTTATTATACTTTGTTCAAACATGGAAAAGTTTCTATAAAACATACATTTCTTTGAATTTATTTAAAAAAGGGAAAAAAGAGAACATTTATTTTTTGTCTACAGGGTATATATATATATATATATATATATATAAATATATTTATATATATATATATATATATATATATATATATATATATATATATATATATATATATATATATATATATATATATATATATATATATATATATATATACTGGATTTTCAGTAGGGCAATCGGCCAAATAATTAGTCCCAAAAAGAAGTTGTGATTTCTAAAAAAATTGTCTGTTAGATGGATTACCTATTGAATTCTTCATTCAGTGGTACTTATTACTGTAGTCATTCTAACAATATAAAAAAGCGGCTTAATTAAAGATTCATTTAAGAACAGTTCCATCACCTGTTGATTACACATTATTTAAATACAATTCTTATAATGGTCACTATTCTCATAATGGAGAGAGCTGTAAGCTTTTTAACTAGAACTATTAACAAAAATAATTAGTTCACAGTGATGAAAGTTTGTCTTTTTAAAAAAAACACTAAAATATAAACAAACCCAATATCTGTGTAGCTAAGAAATGGAAGTAATGGAAAACACCTTGTCCATCATTCATTGTACTACATATCTAAAAATAGATTACCAGTGTCTTCCAAAGCCTGTTCAGGAAGAGTGTGTATAAGGTTATCTGTTTCTGAAGTCATATTCAAGAATCTTCCTCCTGCGGTGGTGTAGCCGAATTGAATCACACGATTTCTTTTGTAAATCCAATTCATTTTATCTTTTCTATAAATCATTAAGGCATACGAACTTTCTGAACCTGGGGAAATTTTTTTGTAAGTATGTAATTTTAAAATTAAAAACATCAAGATGATTTATCAGATTTTGTTTTTCAAAGAAGATCAATGACTATCAATTGACAATAAAGTTTAAAATAATTTTATAGGCAATTTTTGTCAATCATGCACTAAAGATAAATATAAATGTATCAGAATTCAGTTTTAAAGCTTACTACTAAAACAGTGAGTAGTAAAATATTGTCTTGGACAATAAATGTACATTTTTACATTGTTGCACAGACATGAAATTATAAATGAATCCATGAGACATTTTATGCCCTCTAATTGATAAGTATTTATGTTTATATTTCCTAGAAATGCTCATATGGAATAATGAATTCTATCTATAGACTGCAAACATTTAAGATTGAAAGTCCTGGTGTACAAGCATACACAAAATACTACTAAAATACTTGATGTACAAATGAGTTCAGTAAATTCCCTCATTCAAAAAAAAACCAAGTACAATACTTAAATTTAATATTAAATAGTCATTTAAAATATACTTACTATCATAACTATTTGTAGAAAATTCCTCTCCATTTTTGTAGCCCGATACAAAAATCATTTGAAATGAAGTTGTCTCATTTCCCTTTAAATAATGAGGAAAAGTTAAATTTAAAAAGTGAAAAACTATTTTAGTCAACAGAAAAATAATTGCAAGCCTAATTATTCCAATATTTATTATAAAATTTTGTATTATTAATAGATAAAAATTCATTCTTTAGGAAAATCAAAAGTTGATGTAGAATCAAATTTCATTTGTATTTTTTTTAACATTCCTTGGTAATTACACTGTTTTGTATGGTAAATTAATTCTGATAGCCAGATTAAACCAGGCAAAATGTAGCAATTTTCAAATTATCCAAGTTATTAAAAAAAATTAAAGCATTTTCTAATAACATATGTTAATAATATTTGGCAATAAATAGCTCAAAAAGGCAAAAATATGTTAATATAAAGTATGGTGAATAAAGTAATCATAATGAAATATTCTTAACTAGCATGAGGAAATAGCTTTAAAACCAAGAGAAAATTAGCATAACACAAGCCCAACTGATTAAAAGTTCACAGATAAATGTTGTTAAGATAAACAACCAGTCAAGAACTAAACAAGTCAATGAGGATTTAAGCTAATGAATTTAATTTGTTAATCTATTTTTATAAATGGATTATTTTTGCATTTGCACAAATGGGTTCATGAGTTACAGGAAGGAATCATTATTTCAAATGCAAAATAACTGGGTATGGGGAAGCAAATGAAACGATTGTCTTTCATACATCAAGTTGAAAAACTTGAGAAGACAGTCGACCTTCCCTGCAATAGAGAAAGTCTGATCCATATCCTAGCCAATCAGCAGAATGAGGAACCTTTACGTCCTAAGATACTTTTGGCCTAGACGGTCACAGCAGTGACAAAACACAGCTTGCTCTTTTTAATTTTGAGTAAGGGGATGGGTACCACTCAGTTAGTTGGCGCCATCATAGATGATGTTGGCAAGATCAGTGAAAGAGGAAGAACAGTAACAATCAGTGGCCATGAAAAAACAGACACTCTGACAAAAACTGGGGCTGCCCAGGCTCAGCTGGATGTACAAGTACCTTATTTAGGTATAAAAAAAACTGGTTGACAGACCATTTTACCACAATGTGATACAGGCAGTGGGCTGACAACACAACAGCCAGAGGAGTTAAACTAACATGGCATCTCCTAGCAGGCAAGACCCTTGTTGGGGGTTAGGTCACAGGCAGATGAGTCTAGTGACACAGATGCACACTGAGCATTGTCCCATCAGTACATATTTAAACAGACTATACCATAACATGGACTCTACCTGCCGGCAATGTTGCCTGGTCCCAGAAACTTAAGCGCATCTGTTCACCAGATGTCCCTCACTGGATAATTCAGGAGAGGCCATGGGTGGCTGGAGAACCCTACGTGAGGAAAATGTTATATGGCCCATGGGTGGCTGGAGAACCCTACGTGAGGAAAATGTTATATGGCCCAGCCCAACAGATGGAGTTGATTGCCAATGTACTAGCCGGGGTCATAAGAGAGTAATCTCAGACCCTCACCAGAATGTGTGTGTTAGTTGCTCATATAAAAAAAAGTTTTCTATAATCAGGAGCCACTTTTGTGGAAAATCAAATCCAAAGTGTTGTAATTTATCAAGAAAAGGAAAATAAGACCATGCAAAAAATCAATATGTGGAAAAAGGCAAGAGTCATTGATATATTTATATTAGATAGATTTCACTGAGCTGACTTTCAAAAGTTGACTGGTAAACCAATACACATTTTCAGACATCTGCAGTATGTAATACTTTTACAATTACATTTAGTTTAGTCTGAAGTTGCCAGCTAAATTTCATGCAAAGGGCTCAAAGGGAATGTATTTATGAGATGACTGTCAGTTCTTTTGACATGTAAAGATTCTCAATGCGTGATGATTGGTTTAACTCTTATTTTTAGTCACAATTCTCAAAATTATAATAAATTGGGCTACAAAACATTTTCAAAAGAAAAAGAAACATTTTTAAAAAGGGTATAAATGAAAAGAATAGAAGCAAGTATTTTCTAATACTTCCTAAAACAAACACAATATTATGTAAATATTAATATATTAATTCACTGAACCAGAAAGAAAGAAAAATTTTTAGAGCTGAATTTCCAGAATGTTTTCTATTATATTTTTATTGCTTCATAAAGGAAATTGCAGAACTTACAAAATTAACTTATTAAAATTACATAAAGTAAAATGTTTATGTGGAAATTCAAATTTGAATAATAATCGAATCTACAACTTTAAAGTTAATGGTATTTCTGTTCTTATATTAGTTTTCCTGGCACCACTTGGATACGATTTAGCAGCTTGAAACAAAAAATGGTATATTACATTTTCTAAACAGTTGATAAATAAAATAAAATCAAACAGTTTTGAAAACTTTATGAGCAGATTTAAATAAAATTGTACATGCCTCACTGACTTCTGGACTAAGGTCATTCCATGTAAACACTAATACCATCTGGATATCAAAGTCACCCAGATGAAATAAAGTCTTAATGTCTTGGGCAGCTCTGGAAAAAACTTGTTTATGACTGTGAGACTTAAAGCTGTGTAATTCATCACCACATCTCTTGTAAACATTGTAGGAAATGGAGCCTTTTTTTGAATTTGTTTTTGTCCAAAATGGTGCAATCAGATTAATTTTACGCTCTGTTGCTGTAACAATACTTGGTTCATTAGGGAGTAGAGATGCATCAAAAGATACAACTCCATTTGACATTACCTATAAGAATTAGACAAATTAAATAAAAGCTCTGTTAGGATTAAGATGAAAGCCGACAGCCCAAATGGCTACTGGAGCAAGATGATAAGAATGCATAAGTTTTGAAATAAGTAAAAATGTACCTTTGGTTAACCTTTTTAATCCTTTAATTTAAATCATTGTATACAGAATTATTAATGAACTAGATTAAATTATGAATGAAACTTTCATAAAATAGTCTTGATTACTTATGTAACAATGGCAAAACTACATTATTGAGACAATTTTCTCAACCAATTTAACCCTTGATTGGTCAGTCATTTGAGAATATCAATGTCTGAGTGGTTGCAGTTGACTAAGTTTAACAATAAACACCATGAGGTGGGTGTACATTTGTCTACTGAATGAGGAAAACTATTCATCTGAACATGAGGTGGGTGTACATTTGATTACTGAATGAGAAAAGCACTAGTCATCTGATCTGACCATAAGGTGGGTGCACATTTGCCTACTAAATGAGGAAAACTCTGGTTATCTGAAGTAGCTTGAATATACTTTGTTTTACTGCAGGTCAAGCTAGGAATCAAGGAGTCATATTTTTTTTTTCTGAATAACCTCACTGTTCCACAGCAGCTGTTTGGTTGGTCTTGTGTAGAATGGCGCCATTTGTGCAAAGTGGATTTCCAAAATGACAAAGTCATAACACTTTACCTCACTAGCAAAAACAGATCAGTTTTGTGTCTTAAAGAAAAAAATCTGTTTTTTTAAGCTGTAACAATATGATAAAAACAAATAAAGTATACTTACATACAGAGAGCCATATAAATGATTTCCAAAGGGTATGGCTAGTTCTAAGTTCACTTTTTGAGATATTGTATTGGTCTTGTCTGCCTCGTTTCTTAATAAGTGTAAATCATTTGCATCAGGACCACTTGGGTAGAATGGAACTAAAAAATATGTAGAAAACAAATAAATATATTTATAAATGTTATTCTAAAAAATGCTATAATATTTTAGAGATTTTTCAGTGAAAAGTGGCTTATGAGGATGCCCCTCAATTTTGTCATTCCAAGATCCCTCTTGCCATGATCAGGTAATTTTTGAAACATTGGTCATGTGACCAAAAATGCATGGTCCATAAATGCGATTTTAAAAATATATTTAAAAGAATTGGGCAAGCCATAGACTTATGAATATATAATATGGTAACAACAAATTAAACAGCTTCAAATTTTAAAATTCTTTTTTAAAATTAAATAGTTGAAATTTTATACATAGGGTTACTTTACTTTTAATGTATGAAATCTAGACCAATAGAAGTATTACAAACCACTTAGGGAGTATGGCAGCTAGAAATGTAACAAAGTAGATCTACATCATTTTATACAGGGAACCGCAATTTACACATATCAAAACTATCAAAAGATCAGTTAATAAAATTCTAAATTAAATTTTTTTATTAAATTGTACCTTCTAAGGGGTAAACGTGAAGTACCTGCTGCACAGGATAGAATGACGTTAATTTTTCAGTGCCACATTTTTATATCATATAAAATTTAAATGTTCTTTAAACTAGTGCATTTAAAGTATCTACAGAGGGGCTAAAATGTTGAGTTGCCAGGAACTCTTTAGCCCTCTAAAAACTCCCTGCTCATAGCATACATATAATGCACATAAATAAAAAATCACTATTTCAACTGTTTCAGAAGTAAGAAAGATGCAAAGAATAACATTATATATTTAAAAACAACACAAACTTCACTTTCCCTTTCATTGTAGTGAATTAAAAGATATTTAATGCTTCAATTACCAATTGATAAATCTATTCCACCAACTTTCACCTTGTCCGCATAAAAATGTAAGTGAAAGGATTAATGACAAGATTAAGAGCCCATCCCCCAGTATGAACTATAAAAAAAACTATTTAAAGGGAAATATATTTCATAACTCTTGTACACTCACCCACACATGTTATTTTGTCAACACCAAGAATCATGTTGTGTGGACAAGTGCATTCTTCTTTCCCAACAGCATTGATGATACAATAATGTGAGCAGAGTCCACGGTTCCTTATGCAGGCACGTTGTACTTTAAGAAAATGTGCATGGTCAAATTATTTAGAATTTGAAAAGAAAAACAATTTTATGTATTTAACAAGCTGCTTGTGTTAATATAGATAAATATACAAATTATAGTTATTTGCATACAAATGTTTTACCTAAAATCTACCCAGGATGACTATATTAAGTGGGAATGTTCAAGCACAAAGAAGTGATTGCAAAAAATTTAATTTAAAATTAAAAGTAGAAACAAGATGAAAATTTAAAAAAAAAGGGAAACTTCAAGACATAAATTACCTTCACAATGTTGATTGCTATTCATCATGTATCCTTGTCGACACACACAACTGTGCACATCATCATTATTTGTGCACACCTGGTCCTCAGGACATTTAAATGTAATGTCCTGTAGGAGGCATGGATCTTTCTTTTCAGTACATTTGTGTCCAAACCATTGCTCCTTGCAGATACACAAGCCAGTCAAATGATCACAGTGTTGGGTGTTGTTGGTTTCACAATCACATTGGTTTTCACATGTTTGCCCATAGGTGAAATTATTACATGCTGAAGTTTGAATAAGAGTAAGATAAAATATTATGATGAAACAATAATATGCTATATTGTAGATCCAAATGTAAAGTTAAAATATTCCCTGGGAATAAGCTTTGTAACAAGTTTTGACTCCCTATGATTAGCCTAGTACAGTGGTTCCGCAAAAAAAAAAAAAGAGTTGTTATTAACAACCGTTCTTCAAAAGAAGCAAAATAAAAAATCATTCTTGTTGTAACCATTAAATGAGGCTAATATTCACCAATGAATTATTATGTTTTTTTATCTTACTCACCATGGGTGGAAAATGATGCTATGAAACCATGTCCTTCATGGTAATCATATGCTAAAACAACATGCATTGTATTGTTGGTTGATCTGACAATGCCTGAAGCACCCTCCTCAATGTATTTTCCAAGCAGAGTGCTATCTGTAGAGTCACCATCATACACCATGACATTCCAAAAGACCGGTTCAAATTGAATCAGAAAATTGAACTCCTGAAATCTAGAAAAGTATATTTATATAAGAATAAGGCAATGTCATTGCATTATGCTCTGTTCAATAGAGCAAAAAGTAAAATATTTTCCCCTAAAAAAACAAAGTTTGAAAATACAGTTTGAAGGTCATTGACACATTGTGGGCACATTACAGAGGCATAAAAATACCTTGAAAATTCATTGAAGTTGGAAGCTCGAATGGTTGATATGATTGTCTTTGAAACTAAATACATCATGATATATTTTACACATTTTTTTAGACACATTTCTGGGGCGAGTATAAGTTTGGGTGAATATTTATAAGAATAACAATATGTTTATATTAAAAAATGTTTTCTAAACACTGCACTAAAATACATTTCAATTGTGAAATAAGGAGAGTGGGAACATATTCATATGGATTACAACAGCTCAAAACCCAATCGTTTTACACATGAGAGAATTCATTCTTTTAACATAGAGCCACAATTTCTTCCTTTCTCGAAAATACAATTTAGGGGCTGTAACATTGGTTAAGATTTTCTTTAATTTAAGAAAACATGTTTGTCTTTCCATTTTGCACAAAATACAAACCATGGAAAAGTCAAGTAAATATTTATGAAATTAATAATATTTTTCCTTATCAAGTCTCTTAGAGGCATGAAGACTGTTTAAGCAATTTGTCTTTTGATATAATTAAATATTACACAGACATCCTTTATATCCTAACAATTGTTAACAGGTTTAAATAAAATTTTAATTTATTTACAATGTTTTTTTTTTTACTTTTTGAAGTGAAATAAATTCTGTTAGGAGATAATGAAGAAAATGTGTTAAAAAGTTTACCTTAAAGTGACAACTGAATTAGCAGGTCCAATGATTGTCCAAAAACAGAACTTAATTGAAAAATCTTTATGAACCGGACTCCATATCTGGCCACTTTCAGATGACATGTAAACATTGCAGGCTAGGGAATAATTATTATTATCATTATAATGATTAAAGAGAATAGTTATGCAGGTACAACATCTGTTCACAACAAAATAAAAATGTGTTTTTGGTTGTATTGTTAAAAAGCACATTTAAATTATATCATAATAAAATGTTGAATTACTAGATAAAAATAATCATTAAAATGGGATAAACAAAATGTAGCATCTGTTTTGGAAGGCAAAAGTGTAAAAGAAAAGTTTCCAATCTTTGCGCATACAGTCAAAATTATTTGAAAATCGTTTTCACAATTTCTGGTCCCATAAACAGTCCTTGCATTTATTGTTTAGTTTGCTGGGTTATACTTCCAAAAAATTAAAGTATGGTACCTAACCAATTAAGCCATTTTACACCAAAACAGATATTTATCAGAAAAACTGTTAAAATATCTTATTGAACTTTAAAACTCAATAAACATGCAGTCTGCATTTTTTAGCAAAAGAATGAAAACATCTGAGAAAGTTGAAGATGCAATTTACTTGGTGTTCAAATAATTATTATTGCTAAAAACAAGCAGCCAAACTATTTGCTGAGATCACCTTGAAAGAATCTTGCTGTGTTATTTTTTACAACAATTTTTCTGCCCCAATCTGATGTTATGAAATTCCTTTTGCAGATAGCACAAGGCCAAAAATATTTTAGATATGTCAGATAGCATTTAACTGTGTATGAATTATCTTTTTTCAAGACAATAATTATTTGCATTGCACTTAAAAAAATTCACAGAATTTAGTGTCTCACAGAAGGTTTTTTACATAAGGATAGAATTATATTCAATTCTAGCACGGATTTTACTATAAAAGTACACAAAACTAACAATCTCATTAATCTTGGAAAAGTATGATGTTAATTAAAAAAAAAGCATATATTAAAAACAGAACATTTTCATGCGATATGTTGTTTCACAAATACATTGGCTAATACACTAATATTATGTTTTTGTCAGTATCTTTAAAATGGGTTACAGTACACTATAGGTAGCACCCTGAGTTCAAGGAATTAAAAGTGGGTATTGGTTGTTGACTCGCAGAAAGGTTGCACCCTTAGATTGGGCAGTTACATGGTCCTTTTTAAGGTAAATATAAAAAAATCATCAACTATGTGATATTTAATAAACATTAAAAAATGATTGCCCCTATCTCAATCATGAGCATTCTTGCTTGTTTTACTGATATGGTGCAATGGACTTCAGATCCTTGATATCAAGTGGTAGGTCTATCCTTGATTTTTATCAAAATTTTTTGTTTAAAAAAAAAGTGTGACATATACGCGAATATATAGGGTAATTTTGACCCATAGACTGGTAAAAAATGAGAGTGGTGAAATGATGTACAGCTAAAATGTGTTTGGGAAGCACTGGAACCATAGATCACCCAAGCATTTTAGACAAGTAATGGTTAATTTTTAAAAATTTATGGGTCTTCTATTTTATCATCTACTGATAGGGATCAACACATTTTCCTAGGAACATATTTTTTTATTTGCGGCTATATAATTGATAGTTATCTCAAATGAAAGAAGCTGTCAATTTTTGGGATATCTCAAATTTTAAGAAATTTTGGAAAAAGTATTGTTTTAATTGAATTACTTACAGCGACATGATAAAACACCATCTTCAGTTTCACATGTAGTGTTGCCAGGACAATAGTTAGAAGAACAAAGGTCAACTTTCCTACTACAGTTATAGTCAGTCCATCCAGGTTTGCATATACACTGACCATTGTTTATATCACAGTATAAAGTGTGTTGTGGCTCACATGAACAGGAAGGAATGCATCCTTTGGCCCAATGTTTGGGACATTCTGTTAAATTTTAAATACATCATAAGAGGAAAATTGTACATGTTTTAGCCAAAAACACAAACTCAACTTTTGAAATGTTTACATTTTAAGACATTTCTTTTAGTTGATGTACCATGCATTTTGTGTGTGGTCAATAACAGTTTGCTTTTACTATAATTACTATATCTGCATTTGTATCAGCTGCTATGATCCATTTTGTATTTTTCAGTCAATGTTGGGTATTTTTTGGTCAATCATTTTGAGTTTGTTGCTAATGGAGATTTGAAAACATACATCTGAAACAATTTGTTGCTAATGAGTGAACACACATTCCAAACATGGGGTGAGGCTGGAACCCATAATATGCCACCACAACTCTGCAACAACTAATAAACAATGGCGATCATTTGCAATTGTTTTGCTTCATAAGTTAAGTTTACTTAGCCAACACGTACTTCTCCCTATGAGATTATATTGAATGAGACAGGTTGAAACCTGGAGGATATCAAACAGAAAGATGTCATAGATAATATTTGCGTTGGTGCTTTGGGTTGAACAGCGTTGCAGTATTAGGGAATCTACCACATTGCAGATATTGCATCTGATATTTATTGTCTAAGTCCATTAATTAAAATAAGAGGAATGCAGAACATGTTTTATCCCCAACAAGAGGACAGATGTTCCAATATTAATTAAAAATGATTTGTGCTACAAATTGAAAATATTGATACGTCATGGGTTTTTAAGCATCATGCAATCTATTTATCAATAGTGTTGAAAAAGAAATACTGGAGTCTATTATAAATAGAATAAATTCTCACCCACAGCCTGGAAATCAGTCCGAAATCCTCGTTCTGCAATCGATCCATCAGAATGAAACACTATGTGCATAAAATTTGATGAGGAATTAATGATGATGGGCACAGCACTCTGACAGAAATGTCCTATTCTTATGGCAGTGTTGCTGCTCCCATCGTACATATCAAGATAGTCATTGTCACAGTTGACTTGCCGTTCCAAATTTAAGTCAATTATCCTTTGCAAAGACAATCAGCAAAACAATGAGTTTACAACTGTAATTAAGCAATTAAATTAGTTGATGTAAGCTCATGTACATTATTTGACCTGATTTAACTCATTGCATTTGAGAAACAATTCACTTGAAAGTTTAAAAAAAATAAGTTTTTCTTGCAGGTTATGACAACCTACAATAACTGAAATGCTGCTTGCAAAACATTGACCCTATCCTTGCCAGGTATACATAAAAACTTGAGAGACCATTCTTAATATTTAATCCTTATCTATCACAACAAATTCTGTTTGGCCTGAAGGGTTGGTTATTTTTTCAATGACACTAAGAAGCCAGAGCTTTTAATGATAAAATAGAAGGAAAAGAAATGTTTTAAAATGTGTTTATTTCATCATTGGTTTAATTTTTGAATATTAATTTTTAATTTATCAGAAATCCCATGAAACAACAACATAAAAAACTATTATCCATATATACAGTTGAAATACCTTAAGGAAATAAATTGGTTTTCATAAACAACTATGGTCCATTTGCAGTCGGCATAGTCGGGATATTTTTGAGGATATTGAGGACTTGATATGTGCCCAAAAGATGAAATCAGGGTCCCACCACAAACAGATGCTGAAGTCATTTAGAATATGATCAATAAAAGGACAATTAGAGTTAACTCAGTTAAAAGACATTTAGAATTAGATCAATAAAAGGACATTTAGAGTTGGATCAATAAAAGGTTAACATAATAATCGCTTATTTATTATTGGTCATTAAAATTTGTCAGCAATGAACTTTGATAACAAAAATTACCAAGAAAATGTGGATTTGCTTAGAATTATAATGCAATGTTGTCCAATGTAGGTTTTACAACCCACATGGAAGCAATTATAATACTATTGGTTGAGGAAGGGGTGGGGTGGGGGTTTCGTATGCATTGTAGTCTCTGAAATAGGACCTGTATTAAAGTTTAGGAAACGAAAAGGGATAATTATTTTTTTCTCCTCAGTCTTTCAAAATTTATTTCAGAGATGTTGGCATACAATCGTAAAAGATATAAAATCATCCTTTGTATGCCAAAACCATAAAAGTAATCAGATTTGCAGTGCATATGTTTGAAATACCTTCTACACATTTTCATTTCTGTTTTTCTGTAAAACTTGTGAGAAATGACTCATTTTCATTTCAATTACTTTTAAGTGGGATGTTACAAAAATGAGTTACAATGAACACCAATAACAAAAATATCAAATTAAATTGAAGCCATTATAGATTAAATAACCATTCAAAATTAATGGTAGAACTATTTTTTTATCACTTTTAATATTTAAAAAAAATCAGTTTCAGATAATTTAAGAGGTAACTTTATAATCTTTGAAAATACCTTTGAGTGTGCTTTTAATTTTAGTGAAAATAATTTAATGGAGTAGGAAGGAGACGTATTTGTTTCTTTTAGCATATACATTTAATTTATGAAAGGTTCAAATTTTTATCATCAGTAATGGTGCAGATGCCATCAGATGGCGCAAGGGAGAAATTGCTTTAAATTAGCTTTACAAGTTTTCTTTTGTCTCTTTTCAATTAAATAGTATCAAGATTGTGAATAGCACTCTATGATTTTCTAGTTTAATAAATGTATCTTAATCAGAAAAATTATAAATATGCTGAAAATGATGATGTAAAAAGCTCCTTCAAAAAAATTATAAGTGGGCTTCTTACGGACATATCTATATTTACATTGAATGCATAACCAATACACTTACACTGTATAGTGTAATTGAAATAAAAATCCTTAGAGTGATCCAAAAACTCTTTCCACTCAATGAACATTTCTGTACCAGTTGCTTTAAAAAATGTTTTATTTCCAGGAAACATAGGAGAGGCATTGCTATTGCCATCATACACAAGTAGCGGAGATTTATTTATGGATGAGACATCAGAAAGAACATACTGGTTACTGTAAAAGAAATAAGTTAATAAATAAATTTCCTTAAGGTTTACAATAACAGTCTCAACGAATATTTTTAAAAAAAGATTAATAAACATTGAGTTTGTTTGAAAATTGTAAGAAAGATGATTTAAAATGTCCATGAAGAGTGTGCGATACATTTAATTTATTGACTTAAATACTGATATCCAGTAATGGTTTTCTGTAGAATAAAGCTTAAAAAGGAATAAGACATGTTGTATGTAGAATCAAATGGAATGAAAGCTTAAAATCTAAATAAACAAAACTTTGTTCTTTTTATATGTTTGGAAATTTGAAACCATTGATGATAATTTAATGATATTGCAGTTATCAGATTCAATATTTTTTTTTTCTTTATTATAAGAGTAGCCTTAGATTGTTATTTATGGCAGCGGAAAGTTTCAGGATTTTACAATTGACATATTAAAAAATTGGAGACAAACTAGTACATATAAATAAACATCAAAAGTACAGTAGGCCTACTATTATAAAAATTGAATTTTCAGTCCTCCCCCAGCCTTTATGACTAGTTTTAGTAAATTAAATTGCTACTGACAGTACATTTTTTCTTATCTAAAACTTTAAATTAATACATTAATATTAGAGTGCTTACCTGTACTTGCTTAATGAGATGCCAACTCCATGTAATAACCAACATGAGATACTGCTCTTTGAATTTCTGTTTCTCCGTAAAATTATAAAGCCTGATCTTTCATTCAAAGTCTCACAAGGTGTGGCTGCAATATTTAGAAATACAGTGGAACACTCTTGTAACATGGGTAGCTTTAACACAAATTCAGATGCATGGGTTGATATTCATTCAAACAAGCAATGTTTGTTTTTTATAGAAAAACTGATTAAATTATGCATTATTGTACTAAAATAAAAAAAAAATTAAATAAAACCAGTCCAACATCAACTTATGTATAGCTCATAAACACAAGAGATAAAAAAAAGCCATTTCTTTTTTAAATGTGATCACCTATATTCCTACATTTTAAAAATAACAATGCTATTTGTATATCATGTTATAAGATAAAACCCTACTGTAACGCAAACCCAATATTAATGTGATGCAAGTTTATGGACCCATTTAAACACTCAATTCAGCAACTTTTTCTTCACCCTTTTAAAGTTTAGTATTTTTACTTTAATGTATTTTTGATATGTGAGTCATTTCAATTTAAATAAATTGCAAATTTTAAATTCCTCGACGAAGAATCCTAACCACTATAAAATTATAGGATCATGGCACTTTTAAACCAAATTTAGACCATTTTCTCAAAGCATATAATTATATTTGTAAATGCTCTTGTTTACATGTGTTTCATATGGTGATTAGTTTATTAACAACAAATCCAAACAAAAAATAAAAAATTCAATCAAACTGTGGGAAGTAATATCAATAAAATATTTGTTGATGTTTCGCACAAATGTTTTAAAAAGGTGGACACCCAAACAAATGCTAAATGATAGACAACACAGATGATTGTGCATTATTCTGTTCATTTTATCAATCCTAAAACTTTTTTAGCACAAAAAATTTTTAAAAGTGAAACGGACTAAGCACGAAGAATGTCCACAGTGCAATATTTCTCTAGTTCACCCTTGTCCATTTATAAAAAGGCCTACTACTATTTCATAAACATTGGTATCAGAACTTACATGGCACAGTTCCAAATGAACAGTCATGGGAGGAATAACCATTTTTGCAGAAACATTTGCCAGTTTTACTGGAACAGTATTTTGTGTTTTGTTCTATGCAAGAACATCTGTTATGGCAGTTTTTCAAACCCCACGTAAGGTTGGGACAAGCTGTAGAAAGAAATATATTTTTGATCAAAAGAAATACTTTTATAAATAGTTAATTTTGTTTTTAATAGATACCTACAAGGAATAGTTTACACCCAGCATAAACATCAACTTAGATTTAATAAGTTCATTGTTGAACTTCTAATGCAAACAAATATGTATGACTTATCATATTTATTTGTTCAAAGTTGCAAACAAATACTTACTCTTTGCATCATATCTCCCACTAAAAACAAAAGCATCCTTCATCAATATGCTTCCATGGAAAACTATGAGCATAACATTTGACGAGGTTTGAAGCAATCCCTTGGTGTTGAGACATATGTGTATTGTTGGTTGATCAAAAGCTTTTTCATCCTTTATAGATATGTAGTTTTTATCACAACTGACATACAATGGGTTGATGTCCATTGAGAAACTATAGCAAGAGAATTTTAAAATATCAATTGTTTTGTGCATTATAAAGTTGCCTATGTCAATATTGTTTAGAATCATATTTTATACTTAATTATGTGTGTTTTTAGAAAATTATATTTTTTAAACGAATCATGGAATTCTTTTTTTTCCCCATCAAAAAGAAGCCAATTCAACAATTTACAAAAATGTATATAAAAAAAAAATGATTAAAAAATAACTTGTACAAAGCTTATACCGTTAAGGCTTATTCATATAAGAATATTACAGACTTTGAAAATACAAGATTGCTGTATTAAAAAAGTTAAAGAATAAATAACAGAAAAATTACTTAAGGGCTACAACTGATCCAGGATCGACGACTATTCTCCAGGTGCAGCCAGGAAAATTAATCGGATACCCTGGGCTTGACAGATATCCTGAATGGTCTGATAAGGTTGTGTTGCACTCTACAATATGAAAATACTTTCTTTTAGCATAGGCCAAATCCATATAAACATAACAATAAGAGTGTAATGGAAGTAATCAAAAGAAAGTACAAAAGTCAAAACAAATCTAAATTTCAAGGAACAGAACCCGTTGACTTTCATGTTAAAAGAAACAAATATCAGATTTATACTCATTAAAGAAACCAAAGAAGATAGGTGCTAAAGGGGAATATTTTAAAGTTTCAAGAGCAAAAGTTTTCTAACTTAATTTTGTCTAAATTAACCATTTAAATTTTAAGTGCATTGTATTTTTTCTGTCTATAAATTACTTTGAGCTTTACTGGTCTCCTAAACTTTAAAAAAATATTTAAATAATTTAACAGCATTTTTTTCTTACCATTGTATTCTGAGCAAAACAAGCCACTACTGTTGGCCATGGTACGCAATCTTTTTGGACATGAACATTGCTCTGTCCAGGGAGTTGTTGTTATAACATGACACTCATACTGGCAAGTTTTTGACATACATGTAGCTTTAGGAAGAAGGAAAATATAAATCTTAGACTTAAGATCAATTCATTTTGTCAAATACTTGACATGTTATTTTTAAGTTTTGAATTAGACAAAAATTATCTTTTAATCCGCACGACTGAAGTGCTTTATTACATAGAATTACAATTTGGAGACTTCTTTTAATACTATGATTTTCAATAGATAGAAAATTGCTGTTGTTTTGATCATGTGATGAGAAAGAAATTTGCTTGGTCTCTCCCTGAGTCATACTCTTAGTTAAAACAAAGAAGATTTTCTGCTTGGACATTAAAGTTTGCTTATATTAATATGGGATCCAAAAAACAAAAACTAAAGATGCACTGAGCACACCAGTTGCTACTCCATCTTTCTTTGGCTATGGTATTTTTTTTTTTTAAATATATTGAAAAATGAATTTAAAGAGGGCAATTGTATGAGTACTCCATGAATATGAAAATTTTATTTATATAAGATTACCAAAATTAGCTCCAATTACCTATTAAGAGATGATTTTAAAAAATGTATTAATAATACATTACTTAAAGAAATCTTGACACTATCAATAGATTTTTTAAATTAAAAATTGTGCTGTAGAAGTGCCCCTGTGAGCTATAACTATAAGTTATTATTAGTCTGCATATAGGCTTACTAACCTACTATGATAAAAATTTAATAATACTAATTTTATTAACTTATTTTTCTGTAGCAAACTAGATACTAGAGGAAATAGTAATAGCAAGTAAGTCTTTGGATAGATTTCCATTAATTACAAATTACTTAGTTTGGTCATAGTTCATTTAAAAGTAGTCATTTATTTGGTCCATTTCTAAAAAAATGGAGTTGGCCTAGTTGTTACCTTAAACTTAAATTTAATATTTATATTATTAGGCCTATATGTTTATAGAATATTTTTACAATATATTAATATTAAAATTATTCACAAGATAATATATGCCATGCTTGAAAATGAAGTGGTTAATAGAGAAAGGACAAAATCAATTGTATTATGTGTAATTCATTTCTGTAACTGTAATAGTAATGAGCCAGTAATTAGCACAAAAAAAATGAGGGAGGAACTGAACTGTACTAAGAGTAGGCCTACTAGTACTAAGAAGACTAAGACTCAGTATTAGGGTTGCCAGGTCTGTTTCCCAGAAATCGTGGACTAGCTTGTTTTTTTTGTTTGTTTTTTTTTTTTTGGGGGGGTGGGGGGGTGGGGGGTGGGGATTAAGTAGGAAAAAACTTTACAATTAAATTATATATTTTCTTACAAACATTTTAACACGTATTAAAATAATCACTTCAAAACTTTACTTAAAAATAGTATGTAAATAATTTGATATACTTTATTAAATGTCTTGTGAATCTTGTCAAACAATTGAGTATCTTAGTCTTAGCATGATTAAATTATAATTTTTTCGGAGAATGGAGTTTAATCATAATGGATTTTTGATCTTCGTATAAATCTAACTTATGAAAAAAGACAAAACGCGATTCTCCTACTCCTATCCTTATTCGTTTAGACTATAGGCCTACATCTTTAGATTACGAACCATTTCATCAAAAAGCTTTTGAATTTAAAAAAATGTCGGGCCACGATTTGTTCATGTTCACCGTTTTAGCCAAATGTCAACTATTTTGTGAAAAAAAAAAACAAAAAAAAAACAGTGAACATAATGTGAAAAAAAACGGACTTTCTGTTCAAATAGTGGACACCTGGCAAGCTCACTCAGTATTGCGATGAGGCATTAAATTGTAATTTGTCAATTTGTATACTGCTAGTATAAAGTATAAGATAAGAAGTGAAGCCGTGATAATGAATGAATAATATAACTTGATGATGAATATGATCATGAATCATAAATCATACCACCATAGTCATAATACTAAATCATGAATATTATATTTCATAATTTCATGAATGATGCTCAGCACTGAAGAAATGAATCAAAGTTACAGTCATAGTAGCCTTCAGTAGCCGAATATAGGGCATACTTTTAAAATTAAAATTTTTTAAATGGCCTATTTTATTACAAAAGAATCTTGATACCCTGTGAACAGTCTTTATGGCTCCAGCCAGGTTTGCACTTGCAAAATCCTGAGATCGAGTCACAACCAATGGAATTTTCATGGATGCACTTGCAGGTCAAATTGCACGTGTCCTGACCATATGAGTAGGGCAAGCAAACTGAAAATATAAAACATTTTAATGTTCCATTTTAGTTATTCCTACCTAACATTAAATTATGGGAAAATATTATTCATTCAACTAAAATATCAAATTGAACTTAAAGATATCAATTAAAAAAGCAGACAAAATTAAAATTGCCATTTAGAACAAGAGGATTGACATTACTTTTTTAATTGACCAGGGGGAGCGCAAAGATTTAATTTTTAACTCTTTCCATGCCAGGGGGTTTTCCACGTTCGTGCCAGACCAGTATTCGGGCGTGGGAAATTTTTTAGGGTGCTCCTATCTATTAATTAATTTTGAATACATTTCTTTTAGCAAGATAACTGTATTTCACATCAAATTAAAGGAAATTAGACAGAGAATAATAATATGTAAAATATAAAACAATATAACAACAATAAGTTAAATTTTTTTTATTTAGGTAAAATTGTGCGATCAATTTTTTTATATTTTTAAAATTGCACACAAAATCTGAACTTATCAGACTACCATATGGTCTGTGTTGCTGATATCCTATTCTGCTTCAATCCCCAAAAAGTATATCCATTTTTTATCATAATGCATTTTACATTTTGAAAATATTCCATTTTGTTACGGAGTTATACCCATTTTTGTAACGTTAGGAGTATTCTTATCTGAATCCTCACTGTTGCCATAGTAACAAAGTGGTTTTGAAAAAAATTCATAACTTTTGAAATACTTGAGCTAGAAAGTTGATCTGGGTGTTTTTTTAATCTATTCTTTAGGCTCTATCCATTCGTGTTGTTTTTATATTTTAAAAAATGTTTTGAAATTTTTTATGAAATTGCCGACAGTACCACTATTAAATTATTTCTATCAGTACCATCACCATTCTATTACTATTTCCCTTTACCGACCCATCAGAATGCTGAAAATCATCATTGGAATCAGATTCAAATGATTCATGGTTATTGTCTATTGTTTCAGCATCAATAATTAGCAATAAAAGTTATTTTATTTTCAAAATTGACTACCTACGTGGTCCAGCAACAGCTGACCTGCTTGGAGTGGGCGTAGCCATGGCTTTGTTTACAAAAGTTTCAACACAAATAAACTATTATTAGAAAAAACACATGCAAACATGCCCTACTTCTTAAAAAAAGGAAGTAGTAAGAGTTATCATTCCTTTAAGAGCAAAAAAAGTCGGATTAAGAGCCACAAGAAACGAAATAAACTACATAAATGATATCGATAATGTGGGTTGGCATGAACGCGACCAGTCAAATCGACAGTATATAAAATCAGGGCATGGTGGAAGGGACGAGGCAAAAAGGGGGGAGGGGTGGAAACGGTGGAGGGATGAGTTAAAACTGTACCATACCTCTTTTCATACACATGCATTAATGTGATTTCTATAATCTTTTAAAACGTTTGCATTGTATTAGCTAAAGAATGAAGATTTTTTTTAAAAAGAGTTTCTAATTACAGAGTTAAATGGATTTGCTTCGGCTTCAATAATTTACTCAAAATCGAATTGATTTTTACTGATATAGAAAAGATTTAATCAATGCAGCAAGACCTATTTTTCTATATCAGTAAAGAAGAAACTAAATGCTAACGAGGGTTTTAGTCCATTTCGGGAATTTTAACCGTTGCTGTAATCACTCTGCTTTCTTTAACCTTAAGTTTACTGATCTGATCTAAGTACAAAATAAATAATTTTTTTGTTGTCCCAAAGTTACTATATTGTATCGATACTTAGTCTGCACACGAGCGATATTAAACCCGATTATAGGCACACAGGCAAGTCATATGTTACCGGCAATTTCTTTTTGAAAGAAATATGGTCGCGGGAAAACTGATCGATGGAAGTTTGAGTTTGATTGAAAGTACATTTTATGGTAAAATTTCCGTTCGATCTAAGTTCAGTCAATCAATTTAAAACTGTTGACGAAATTTCTTACAAAAGTTTCCGTGTACGGGCATGAACACCCTCTGGATATTTAAGGCTTAAAGGGCCCTCCGATAATTAATTAAAGGTGCCCAAAATTATCTTGGCACAAAATTTATTAACTATAAATACAGAAACAGAACAGTTTTAGATTAAGGAAAAATCATTAAAAATTAAATTCGTGTCTTATTACCATGCGTCAAGTAAATTGAAATAAAACCACGGTTGGAGAATGGTCCATTTCCTTCAAAAGATACAAGCATAGTGTTTGCATTGGATCGTATAAAGATGCTTGCCAGTTCAGATTGGTTCTTAATGCCATTGTATTTATTTATGCAAAAATCCTCATGCACACGATGTCCGTTATAAAAACGTACAGAGTCTTGCATTTCTATGTCCAACCATTTAAACCTAAAATAAAGATTATTAAATTAAATAACATTGCCATTCAACATTATGTTTATAAATGTTCATTTTTAACAGAATATAAACTTTTTTGCATTTTTTTTTAATGTGCTGTGTAAAATCAGACTCAAAATATTTGAAGAAAACTTTAGACTAATAAATCTGAATAACAGTTTACCTGAAGTCAATAACGTGGCCAATTGGTGCATAAATATACCAGTAGCATTTGGTATTGGGTGGGTACTTATCAGGGTAGTTTGGTGATGTAATTACTCCTGAGGCAAATCCTAGATTGCCACCACATTCTGAGGGTAACAGACAATGTGATGCATTGAGCCAATAATAAACACTATTAACCTTATTGTTAGGTAGATTATTCTAACCATTAAAATATTTAAAATTTCATTGAAAATATATTTAAAAGAATGCAATATTATCAAGACTTTAATTTTGGAAAGGAATTTGTTTTTTTTTTTTAAATTAACATTTGATCTAATGTTAACATTTTAGCATTGCTCCCCCCCCCACCCCAGAATTTTTTATTTTTTTTTGTAGGGGGGTGGGGTTGGGCGGCGCTAAAATGTTAACATTTAATTTGTTTCAAACTCTGGCTTCTCCCTTTTATTTTAAAGGGGTCGTTCGTAAATTACGTCACGCTAAAAATGACCTTTTAGACCCCCTCCCCCTGTCACAAAGTGTAACAAATTCTTTACACCCCCCCCCCCGTATCAATTCACATTAAAAAATTCAAAAAATGCATAACATTTTCATAACCAAGCTACGATTTTATTTTACTCTTTAAAAACTCCCCATAATGGATTACGATGTAGGCCTATTATTAGAAAACTGAGTTTCATAGTACAAGTGTAATTACCATAGTCAATTTCGACCTCAAATTAATGTTTTTAAAATAAATTAAACATTTTTTTTCAAAATTAGAAATATTTGTTGGTTTTTTTAAAGTGACGTCACAAACCATCTCCCCCCCCCCC